GACTAAATAGTCTCAGCTTTTTGGCTTCTGACTTTTGAGTGTTATAAAGTTCTGTTAGATGTTAAGATTTTGCCGCCTAATACGTAAGAAATAGAGTACATGCTGAGTACTTTACATGGACTGTAAATAAACTTTCTTTCTCCACTTCATGATCAGTGGAGTGCTCAAGATGTGCTGCATAGATGAGCAACATTTGTTTGCCAACACTTATACACATCACTGCAAATGTGATCAGAGAGAACTGGACACATTTTGTATCTTGTTGTAGTCCAGTCATGTCTTTTTGTAGTTGTTTACATCCTTCAAGGTATTTTATTTTAACAGTTCTTTCACACAAGAACTGCCAATAATGTTTGAGTAATCAGGTCATGTCAGAGCTTGTCTCAGACCCATTACCACTGCTGGACATCCTTGGACAGACTTTTTTCAGGAGCTGGCAGATTAATCACTCTTTTCTGAGCTGACTGTAATGAGCATTTGTGTTCTCAAATGAACGTCTGTCTTTCATTGCCTAGAAAAATTTCTGGCTGTTTTGTCTGTAAGAAAATGGCTGACGGGTTTAGATATTCAGACATTAACTCTTTTGTGGGGCTTCAGCCATCAAGAGTTGTTGTTGAGGTCATATGAGACTCGTTGACACCCCCAGCCAAGAGGTGAGTGCTTTGGAACGCATGAATAAGGGTGTAGGTAGGTGTGAACTGTTGAAGCTTACGGTGGGCTTTCAGACACAGCGACCCTGGACTACTCCCAAAGCCTTACTTTTATGATGTTGCAGAGGAGGAAGGGAGAGGACAGCAATCAATCACTGAGGTGTGGTTTAAATCTGGGTGATCAAGGAGTCTGTCGCTACACAAAGGATTAGTGACAAAATCAAGACTCGGGGACAATACAAAAGGCTGATTACTAAGCTCACATGTAGATAGTAACCTGTAGATAAACAGGATGTGCAGGTATTATTACATCATGGAGTCGTATGTTAATCAAGTACCAGCAAGCTTTTTAAGAGTCACAGACCAGAGATACTCACTCATTTTCATTTGACTCTGAGTGTGCAGGCTGGAAAAGCTTCTGCCTCTGGCCTTTAGGATCATGGGGATGTGTTTTTTTGAAGGCATAAGACCAAATTTATTTTTCCCAGGAGTTTCTACCAGGTAAGAAATCACAATTGTTTTTGAACTATATATATCCACTAAAGAGATGTGTTAAATATACATTTATTTGTAAACTGGAGGGACATTTGGCGAAAGCATTGTATTTGAATGGATGTTAATTTTACCACATAATTATTTTCAGCATGCTTTTACCACATCTGCCCTAAGGTAAAGGTGTTTGCAATCATTTTGACAAAAATGCTGGATAGCTTTCTTGGAGTGATATAATTTCATTCTTCACAGCAAAACTTTCAACTTCCGTGTAAATAGTTTAGACACCAATTACCAAACAATGGCTATGACTATAACTTGGATTAATACAATACTGCTTTGTTTACAGTGATTTAGCCCATGATGTTTGAATTTGCAGTCATATTTGTCTTTAAAGTAGATTAGAGACTGTAGTCCTTCGACTACAGCCAGGTAAGGAAATACCAAAAAGTTGATTCTGTTCAGTGGAGAAACATTTCTCCACTGAACAGACCTTGTCCGGCTGAGCATGCATCAAGAGACTTTCTTGAGTAACTGGCCAAAATTAAACTTATTTGGGAGATGGCTTAAGTGAGTTCTGTGTATCTTCTTTGTATTATTTTAGTCTGGATGGTAAAAGTGTTATTGTTGTTAACTTTTCAGGTGCAGCCTGCCTTCGAAAACTTGAAGGCAAGGAGTTAGGCCAAAGGAGCGTTAAAAAGGCCTGGAGCTGAGGCTTCCAACAAGTTAACATGAGGGTCAAGTGGCTATCACATCTGCCACCCGAAGTTTGGGTCATGGTGTTCAGCTACCTGAGCACACAGGAAAAGCACAGGGTACGCTGCTGCTGCAAAGTCCTCAAAAAGCTGATTGACCACCCATGCCTATGGCGGAATCACATGGTGGTCCTATCCAACTTTCCACGCTACACAGCTGGATTCTGGGACACACTAAAGTATCGCAGGGTGACCCATGTTGCAGTGCAACGTTTGAGGCCCAAAGACTGGAAACACCTTGTGAAGTCCCTCCCACGGCTCACCACTATTGTCTGCACGGAGGCACAGCAGCATTACAAGAAGAAAAATGTGGACAACCTGCCTGATTTCCCCAACCTGAAGACTCTCGGGATACGAAACGCCACATGGAGCGAGCCAATGCTACAGCAGTGTCAGACTGGGCAGCTAGCAGAGCGGCTGACTCACCTGAGTGTGTGTAACATCCAGCTGCCAAGCACTGCTGAGTTCGTAAACAGCGTGTCACGCTTGTTCAATCTGGAATATTTGCTGTTTCACCAGCAGGCTGAAGCAAAGCTGCAGGTGGTGGCACCAGTGCCATCTAAGGCCTTCCATAACTTGCTATTGAACCTAAAGAAGCTGAAACACTTATCCTGGGAGATTACAGAGAACCCAGTGCCACTGCCCGACGACTACTTTTATCCCCCAGACCCAGAAGACCCAGGTAAGTCTAGTGTCTTTACAGCATTTTATAACCCTGCATCAGAACCAGTATACATTTTTTTTCACCTGAAATATTAAAATCACACTTTACATGTGGGTTTACCTGCTAAATTGCTCCCCAAACAACATTTACAGCTGCTGTGTAACTGGATCAAATGTATTTTGTGACTCAGGAGGTCAAAAAATCAGACAGCTTTCAGTAATTTCATACATTTATTAGCAATGTATGTAACTTGCAGCATCAAACACATTACTGAGTATAGAGTGAATGATACTGTTTATCATAGTTTTTTTCCTAAAGGAGTCAACTTGCTAAGAGTTGCTGGATCACATGTGACACGAGGAAGAATAGCTGCTATGATGCTGCAACTAATGAGGATCTTAATAAACTTAACTAAAGATGTCCTTTACTGATCAGTCACCATTCAGAGTTTTACTAACTACCTAAGCCTGTAGTGGTGGGACAGTTAGATCAGCCACTGTGCCAAATTATTAGCAAACGTTTGACTAACTTGCTCCCATTATTTGGTCCTGTAGAAGCGTACGGTGGCCCAGCACTGACTTCTCTGGAGTTGGTGAATTACCCAGAAACCATGCTGTCTGAGAACGCGCTGAGGGGACTGACCTCACTGAAGTCACTGACTGTTCGCTATAGGTACCTAAAAGTTGGCGTCAAATGTCGTCTAGAGTCCTGGCTGAGTTATCTGTATCAGCTAGAATCACTGGAAATCATTGGTGAGTGTAACCATTGTTCAATGTGTTTTTGTTTTTTTTAGTTTCGTTTCGCAAATTTGACCTGATATACAAAATAAAGCAGTAGCACAGACTAGCCACATAAGTCCTAGCAGCACTACAAATAGTACTCGTTATTTTATTTTTAAAAAGCAGGTATTAGTATTTGTGTAAAGGTTGCCTGCCAGCATTTTAGTGAATTCTCTGATGCTGTATACATCCTTAGTTAGTAGGACAAATTTTCTCCATCAGAAAACGGGGGATGAAAACTTTGTTTGTCCCATGTGTTGCCTGTTCCTTCTTCCTGTTTGTAAAAGTAAGAAGCAAATTTAAAAAAATAAAATAAAAAAAGCAAAAGATCAAGCTTTAGGCCAAAACTGCCTCCTGTAACTCTTCTGATTTCTGTCTGTCTAGGTGGGAATCCTCTTGCTTTCTATACAACCATTTTTCCACCCCGTGTGACCAGGCTGGTGCTGAGAGTGATCATATCACTCAAGGATTTATGCTTCATCGTGAAGAAAGTCAAGAAACTTGAGCACCTCGACATGCATCAGAACCGCTTCTCCGGCAGTCTCTGCAAAAAGCTTCCCTCACTATTTCCTCAGCTCAAGACTCTCAGGATACGGTGAGATGGCAGATTTTTATTTTCTATTTAGTATTTATTGTTATTGTAGATAGATAACATTGCTCAGTGAAATTATTACAGATTACATTTAATCGATTACCTTCATGCAGTACTGACTGACAATTTAAAAAAAAAAATGTTGGTGACTTAAACTTGCTTCATTTATTTAACAAAGGCACTAGAACTTTAAACGATGTTGCAGCATTTTCTTAAATACAACCCAAACATTAATCTGCTGGAAAGAGTCATCAAATTTTTCTTTTTTCTTTCTGGGTTTCCAGTTGCCCCAGCACCAGATCTTCCTATCAGGAGTCTAAAGCATATATTTTTTGCCCTTTTTCTATAGATATTTCCTTGAGGAACCAAAAAGTGACCTCCTGCTCCTCAGCAATCTCAAACACCTCGAGCAGCTGGAGCTGATCGTGGAGCGCTCGTACATTCTCAAAAGTGACCGCAACGACCACCCCTGGCCGAGTCCGTCTTTGCAGGAGCTGATCAGAGAGCTGCAGGAGCTGTCCGAGAACAGGATCAACATCATCACCACAATGCGACAAAGAAACCTTTTTCAAGAATGTGATTGTGTTTGGGAAGGGGAGTAAAGACACCGCGGTTAAGCCGCAGGTTGCCAAATGAAGCTGAATGATAGACACTGACATTCAGACAACACTGTCATCTGATGTCAACCAGACTCGGAGACACTACAGAGATTGTTTTCTTTTTCCCACAAAGTCTTATGTTTTCAAACTGTTGCAACATCACGCTCACTATAATCTGAATTCTGACACGATCATACAATCATACACTGATGTCTGTAACCCAGCGGCAGCCACAGCAGCACAACGCAGTGTTACATGTTACAAAAATCTAGATTTGCACAACCGGCCGAAGCAACACCAGTGCGCGATAGTGGATGTGACATGTGAGCTTTAAACCACCCTTAACAGGCGGGACCCTAAATGTGAGCAGTCTGAAAAGTCTTGAGATGTATATTTCAAAGCCAACAAAAAAGCCACATTACTGCAGAGGAGTTATTGAACTGTTGGCCTAATCAGAAAGCTTTTTCCGGTGCATGAGGAGGTGAATTTACATGAGTTGTGTTGTAGATCTTTGTAGAGGATTATAATCTTTCTAGATTTACATGAATTGTAGATCAGTTTCCTTAAATCTAATTTTGTTTTTGCGTTTACGGTCATTTAAGGTAGTTTTCTTTTTTCTTAAACGGGGAGAAATGATAGATCTGTTTGCATATTGATTTTGCTCTGGCTGATATTTTTTATTTTTTATTTTTAATGAACTGGAAAAACTGAAGTCACTGTTATTATAATCTATTTGTTTCTGGCACAAAGAATGAAAGCAAATAACAAAAGTACAAAACAAACCCAAACCATTAGCATCAAAACTGAGTAGCAAGCAAACTGAATTGAAAAGGCAAGAAGCTGCTTCTTTGTAGCTCCACTGAAATGCTACAGATTGTTAATGTTAATTCAGTGCTTATTTTTGAATGGTCAATCCAAGCATGTGTGTTTGTTAAACAATTTTTACAAGTTGTGTGAACTTTTATATTTTTTATTTTGGGGGTTTTTTCCTAATACAAGCCCTTTTTTCTGAAGAATTGTATTGTTTGATTGAATCCTCTTTTTCTTTTTTTGCAAGTATAAAAGCAAGCACCTAGCCATGAGAAACATAAAAGTTTTTGTTTGGGGGCAGCTTTTATATCTCCTCCCTGATGGTAAGAGTGAAAAAACTCAGCGGGAACCACTGAAGGTGTCCTACATGATGCTGGAAACGCTGTGGACGTAGTGCTGTTTGATCATCTCCAGGATGGATGAGACCGTGATAGCAATGATCTGTCCTGCTGTTCACACAAGCCTGCCCAGTTGTTGTATGAACAAAAAATACTTCAAAAACAATAAAAAATGTATTTTGTTCTTTAAATGTCAGACTTGAGTGAGTAGATGCTTGAAACAACACATGGTTTGGTTCTCCTTTAATTGGCCTCAACAATGAGAAGCATCACCTTCCTTAACACATGCTTACACACGTGTTTTAAAGATCCAATTACACACAAAGTGCTCTTATTTAGGTATTTGCCAGACATGAGTATAAATTACACACACAGATGCAGTTATCTGACAAAAGTCTTTCTCATAAGTCAAATGTAGAAGACTGCAGTGGTTTATTTAAATATGAAATGAGTAAGACAAAGTTAGAGACGAAGTACAAAGTAACAAATACAAGTAAAAATACTTTGTAATTGGGCTTAAGTAGAATTTTCAGGTATTTTTACTTGAGTATTTACTTTTTACTTTTACTCCCTAAATTTTGACACAAGTATCTACACTTTCTATTCCTTTGTTTTCAAAACAGACTCGTTATTCAGGAACAGGAACGCTTCAATGCACTGCAGTGTTTTTTTTTTCCTGTTGCTTTGTCCATATTTCTTAACTACATTGTTACATAAATTCATGTGGACACTCAGATGATATGCTGGGGGGGATGTCTACTTGTTAAGTGCAGTAAGCTGCAGTGCATGAGGTCTTTTCCTTATTCATATGCTGCAGTGTAGTGCCACTAATAAGTTGTCGTTCTTGGTTGCTACAGTTTCTTATTAGTGCTATCCATGTTTAGCACATTTTCAGCTGAGTTTACAAACTCATGACTCACCGTGTCTTGGATACCAAGTATTTTAGGGCTTCAGAAATAATCACAGTTGGCCAAAAAAGAGTTTGGTGTTGAAATTAAGGTCAGACTTAAGGTCACAACTTTCTCATAGCAAGTAATCCAAACCATGCAGTAACATAAAAAAGTAATAAAAAAAATATTTGCTGTGTTTCAACAGTTTTGTGTGTATTCATCACTGCTGAAAACTGAGTGCATCGAGCCATGTGTATCCGTTTGTACACTCTCTAAATCCTGCACCAGCTGAAAGCGCCACAGGTCTTTGCCCTTTTGTTGGAGGAGACTGTTGCCATAGCAAAGGCTCAGTTGTTACACTGCCTGTGGCAACAAGCAGTTTGCCTGGCAGGTCACCATGTGAGGCCACTGGCACCGCTCTGTGATGACTTTAAATGCCTTTCTCCAATAGCCCCCAACCAGCTGCACCAGTATATAGATAAATTAAAATCCTATGCTAGCTGCAAGTGTTTTGCAGTTAATTTTAGGCCACTACAAATCTGTGGTCACTACTAGCAGTAGGATTAGCATTTTTCATATGGCAGCTAGTGAAACTGTTTAGATGTTGACTCAAAATTTAAGGGAACTCTTCAACAATAGTCAGTAGTAGTCAACAATAGCCTAACCTGAAACACTCCCATTGCCAGCTATGTGGACCAAGGCCTTATTACGGTTGTATAAGGATCGGGCCACACACCCCATACTCCCGAAGCACCTGCTGCAGCACACGCTGAGAGACACGGTCGAATGCCTTCTCCAAGTCCACAAAACACATGTAGACTGGTTTGGCAAACTCCCATGCACCCTCAGGTATAGAAGGATAAAGAGCTGGTCCAGTGTTCCACGACCAGGATGAAAACCACATTGTTCTTCCTGTATCCGAGGTTCGACTAATGGACGGACCCTCTTCTCCAGCACTCTGGCATAGACTTTCCCAGGGAGGCTGTGGAGTGTTATAGCTGGAACACACCCTCTGGTCCCCCTTCTTAAAAATGGGAACCACCACCCCAGTCTGCCAATCCAGAGGTACCGCCCCTGATCTCCACGCAACATTGTAGAGACGTGTCGACCAAGACAACACAGGCTAACCAAGCCCGATAAGACTCCTCCTTTAGCCTGGTGGCTCCCTTCAATCACCTTGCGATCGCAGCTCAGTGAAGCGGCTTTGGCAATGGAGGTGCAGGTCTGGTGATATGATTACAAAATTGATCATCAAATCACTCAATTGCTACCGTATTGCAGTGGAGGGGTTTGTGTGTCCCAGGGATCCCAGGGGCTATGTTGTCTGGGGGCTTTTGCCCCTTGGTAGGGTCTCCCATGGCAAATTGGTCCTGGCTGAGGGACCAGACAAAGAGCAATTCAGAAGACCCCTGTGAGTAGAACATCAAGGGAACAGTTCAACCTGCTTGGGATAGGATTACCGGGGCCCTGCCCTGGAACTAGGCCTGGGGAGGGTGCCTGAGGGCCGGGCCTTAGTCCATGAGGCCCGGCCAGGCACAGCCTGAAAAAGGGACATGGGCACATCTTCCTGCAGGCCCATCACCCACAGGAGGCGCCATAGGAGTTGAGTGCATTGTGTGCCAGGCGGCAGCCAGGACCAGAGGCCCTGGCAGACCGATCCCCAGCTACCTAGTCTAGTGTACACTGTCTAAATATATTGATAATGCAAACCACATAATTGTCTATTAATAATTTGGTCATGCTGTTTTCACAGCTGACATTTGACTGCTGTATCTGCATGTTTAAAAGGGCATAAATGTTGTGCCTGTGTGTGCACTGTGTATGTGCCAATAAGTGTCTGTGAGTATCATAAAAAATGGAGAAGGGTAAAGTAGGCCAGCTGTTCACAGCACTACAGGAGCTGGTGGAGTGAAGGAGTGATACAAAGACTGCACCCTTCCCATCCTCTCTTTCTGATCTTTTGTCTCCTCAGAAATAGACCTGCAGCAGGTTAGGGTTATTAAGGACAGAAATGTCAGTGTACTAACAAGTAAAGTGAGCGTGCTGAGAAGATGGATGGAGTGCTTTGAGGCGCTGATGAATGAAGAAAATGAGGGAAAGTTAGTCAATTGGAAGGTGGCTGGCCTAAATAACTTGCCTGTGGAGGTATGAAGATGTGTAGGAGAGAGGACAGCGATGTGCAGGGGTGCAGTAACCACAGAGGGATACATCTGAGGAGGCATACCTTGAAGATATGGGGAAGAGTTGCAGGAGCTAGGTTAAGAGGAGACGTGATGGTCAGTAAGTAGCAGTATGGTTTCATGCAGAGACAGAGTCTATGTTTGCTTTGAGAGTGATACTGGGGAAGTATAGACAAGGTCAGAAGAAGCATCACTGTGTCTTCTAGAGAAAGCCTATAATAAACTGTCAAGAGAGGAACTGCGGTACTGCAGCTGTGCGGTAGGGGTGACTGATGGGTTCAAGGTGGCCATGAGATCATCAGGTGTCAGCTCTTAGGCCCTTCTTATTTGGTGATGGACAGGTTAACAAATAAGGCCAGACAGGAGTCTCTGTGGACTATGTTGTTTGCAACAACATAAGTGAGAGCAGGGAGCAGGTGGACAAGAGTCTGGAGAGGTAATATATGTAGCAAAGACGATGCAAAGAATTGAGGTATTGAAGGTGGACGAGTTTCCATACCTTGGGTCAACCATCCAAAACAACAGACAGTGTTTAACGGAGGAAAGAAGAGAGTGAAGGCAGGGTGACGTGGGTGAAGATGAGTGTCGGGGTAATTTGTGACAGACGGACAGAAGAATGAAAGCTGATGTTTACAGACATGACAGTGGTGTACAGTGACGTTTACAGAAGGGCAAACAGAGATTCAGCAGTGTCATTGAGTTTCATGGGGCCCTGTTTTGAGACCAATAACCTTTGCTCCATACATCCGTCCCTTAAGTAACGTTATAAAAAAACGCAAAACCTAAATTTTTATTGCTATTTAAAGAGGTATATTTATCTGTGAAGCCAGATGATAAAGAGCAGTTAAACTACAGGCATGTTTAAAAGACATACAGGCCTGGGTGACCTGTAGTTTCCTACTTCTAAATTCAAACAAAACTGAAATTTTCGTACTTGGCCCTTGAAGAAACAATGTGTCTAACCAGATACTGACTTGGATGGCATTACCCTCGTCCCTAGCAGCACTGTGGGGACTCTTGGAATCATTTATAATTCATTATTATTGGGTTGTTCTGTAAGTTCCCTTAAAAGCTTTCAGTTTGTCCAAAACACTGCAGCGAGAGCACTGACAGGGAAGGGGGAGATAATATTTCTCCCATATTTTGACTTGTCTTTATTGGCTTCCTCTAAAATCTAAATTTCAACTTAAAATCCTTCTACTCACCACAAAACATTGTATAACCATGTCCCATCATATTGTTAAGACCTCATAGTATTATATTAGATGTCATATTAGCACCTATCTTATCAATTGAACACTTTGCTCTCAGATTGCAATCTTATTTTTTTCCTAGAGTTTCCAAAAGTAGAATGGGAGACAAAGCCTTCAGATGTCAGAGTTTAGCTAGGGCTAGATCAGGTGACCCTTAAGCCTCCCTTAGTTAAGCTTCTGTAACTTCTGGCCTGCTGTGGAACTTCCTGTGATCCACAGCATTTCTTCTTCCAA